TCACAGAGAAACTTGAAATGCTATTATTTCTGTGCAGTACCCTGCTGCAATGCTGACAGAGAAGCCAACTTCTTCTTTCAGAGCCACCTTTGAAGTTTGAAAATAGAAGCTGCAAAGCTATTTCCTGCTGTAGAAAGGTTGTTTTCACAGTTGAAAAGCAAAATTGCCAACCATCTTGGAGGCATCAGAAATCACCCCACCCTCTTACCTGCCACCTCCTGCTTCCTGCCCCTCATTCCCATCTCCTCTCCCCCCCCCCCACCCCGGGGGTTTTGGCCTGCAACCCCCTGCCACATCCCAGTCTGCTGATGGGTGGCTCATGGTGGAAAAGGTGGCTCATGGTGGAAAGGACCAGATAGAACTCTTCTTGCAATGTGGAAAAATTCCCAGGGATGAAAAATCACGAGTCAAAGAGGGCAGGGGGCAGGGTCAAAGTGAGTGAGAGGAAGTGTTAGCATTGTCCTTGGGCTTGGGGGGAGGGTACAACTCTACAGTTGTAGATCCCTTGCAGAAAGGATCATCTGAGTAGGCAGAGCCCCCCACCTGTTGCCACCTACCTTCCTTCTCTCCCTTCCTCTTTCCCTCTCATCTACACACCAGTCCCCACTCCAGGCCACCCCCACCCCACCCCCACCCTCCAGGGGCAGCTCTGAGGATGAAGTCATCAGGCATCTGTGGTCAGTGCCTTCTTGCTTCCCTGGAGACTAGGTGGCAGCTGCCCTGGGGAAGGGGGGGTGGTTTCCCTCCTCAGACCACTGCAAAGGCAGAGCTGGAGGTTCAGAACAGAAAACTGGCCCCAGGCCACTGTGGTCAGGAGCAGGACACCACCCCTGGCTGGCTTCCTCTTCCTCACAGACCCTGGTGCCCTGAGGAACTTGAGCGCTTCTTGCAAGAGGCCCATGAAATCTCTTAAAGCCTAGAGTTGATGACCTTCCACTCATTGCCAAACATCTCCACCACATCCCACATTCCCACCTTGTGCCTGGAGCGCAGAGACCTTGGGCTGGACCCACCCAGACTTCGTCACATCACCGCAAGTGTGCTCTTCTCCCTGAGCCTGGCGTCCTCCTTTGTGAGCGAAGATCCACCGACTTCACAAGCCTGAAGGGCGTGCCCTTAATGGGCAGGCAAGTAACACCAGCACGTTCCATTTCTTAGGGGCAGACTCAAAACTGGAGGCCTGAGGATTCAGTTCTTCACACTGGGGGGAGAGCTGTACACTGAAGATATTGGGGATCCCTGCTACAGGTGTCTTAGTGACCATGCAAACAGATTTCATGTTAGTGGCATATTGAAAAAGGCTCTCTGGAGAAAGGGTGTAGGGGGGAGGGACAGGTGCCCAGATGGGATTGTAACAGGGTGGTCCCTAGGAAAATGGGAAGTTCCAGGTTCTCTGCCCCACGTTGAGCGCCAAATCTGTTATAGGACAGCAAAACTGTTCCAGGACAAAATCTGTTACAACAGGGAGAGAGGCCAGCTGGTCCACAGCCTGACACGCAAGGCAGGGGCCCGGCAATACATGAACACATCTGCTTTTCACTGAGGTTTGAGGAGACCGCTGGCAGTGTGAGCAAAGAACAGCTAGAGTGGGGGCACTGGCTGGGGAGGGGAGTCTGGGTCAGACCCCAGGCTAAAGGATCTTGACCCCAAGTTCTGACACCCATGTGGTTTGTACTTTTCCATTAGAGAAGTGATCATTGTTTAATGCTGCACAACAGATCTCATTTGCAACAAATCACCCCTAGACTTAAAGGCTAAAAATGACCCAAACATTTATCATCCACTCAGTTTTTACTTCAGGAATTCACGAGTGGTTTGGCAGCGTGGTCTGGCTGGAGTCTCCTGAGACTGCTGTTAGGCGTCACCTGGGTCTTCCATCTCATCTGGAGTTTTGATTAGGGTTGGGATCCACTTCCAGAGTGGTGCCCTCCCTCAGGCAGGCCCAGCTCCCCCACATGGGATACTCCTCAACACCGTTTCTCACTCAGACACCTGGAATCTGTGGGGCTGACAGACTAAGCAGCTGAATCAAGCCTCCCTGTGAGAGCTGGGCCACCAGGCCCTGCCCACAGGGAATAGCCAGCTGAAGTCTTGCTGCAGGCCAGGGGTGGGGTGGGGGTGGGGGTGCCAGGAGGTGGTCCCAGCAGCGCTGGGACACCCTCTTCTCTGCAGGGCTGATTCAGGCCAGATGGCACAGATGTGTCTGTCCTGCTGCTTTGGGGAGGTCATTGCCCCAACCTGGCAAACTTTCTTTACTAGTTTGGTTCACTGATGTCCTACTTAAGACAGTAACATAACTAAAACATACTCTGATTTTTCCTGGTTAAAACCTGCTGAATTTCGAGATTGTCATAGTGGAACCAAAAGACTGAGGAGCGTACAAGAGTTTATATGGGGAGCACATGTATCTATATGATGTGTGTGCGTGTATGTTTGTGTGTGCATAGTCAGGATGGGGACTGGGTGGCAGCGGGTGGGCAGAAATATTTAATCCCAGATATTTACTGCTGGGTTTAAAAATATCCAAGAGACTGCCCACACCAACTGGGCCTTGCTCTGTGCCAAAGAGCACAAAGGGCTCTAGTAGATGATACATAATAATCAGTAACTTGTAGTCCATGTGCATCAGCGGAGGTTGATTCAAGATTTCTGGCATTGCTGATGTTTCTAGGCTGTTGGCCCAAATGCTGACAGGTTCATTGGTGCACACTTGGGCCGCTTGGGAGTCTGCAACACTGCTGTTTCTCCTCTAGGATGAGGCCCATACATGGGGTAGTGGGAGCAAGCAGGAGTCTGAGTTACTAGGTGACAGGAAGTTCAGACTGGTGCTTCTGTAAAATGTCAAAGGCTCACAGGCAAATACCACAAAGAAAGAAAGAATGTGCAGCTTTCTGGGGACTATACTTTTGCTCTTCCTGCTGCTGATGACACAAAGCAATGTCCCACTCCCCTGGCCTGGGGAGCAACTTGGGCATTTTTTAAACATAGCAGTAAATATTTAGAATTAAAATATCTCTGCTATTTTCCTCATGCTGTGGGAAAGTCCACACTGTCCAAAGCTCAAATAAGGATCTTTTCGTTGATGAGGGTTTTGTACAAAAAGTCAGCTGTGGCCTCAGCAGAGGGACTGAGTTACCAGGTGGCACTGGTCAGACCTTCATGCTGACCCTTTCAGGTGGTCTCCTTCCAGGCAGGACTTGGGGCTGAATCTAGAAATGTTTCATGTTGTAAAGGGGCCTTCCTATAGGTGGTCAGGTGTTAAGTTTTGGGTGAAAATATCTGGATTTGAATGATTCCATAAAGTCACCCTGTGGAAAGTGCCTGAAACACAACAGGTACTCAAGGAAACAAGCAAGCTCATGTTTTCCTTTTTCTTTTTTTAATTCCACATTTTTTTTTTTATCACAACAGTAAGAGAAAAAAAAAGAACATTCAAACATGGCCCAAAGAACCTGACCCTCCTGGCTTGCAGAAATCAGTTTGTTTTCTTTTGTTTTGGGCAGAAATGAGTTTTACAAAGTGGTAATCATGCCTTTAAATATTCTGTATGTTGCCCAATTTTCTACATGACCCTCCTAATTATTTCAGTGGTCACACAACACCCGTGCATTAGTGCTTAAGGAAAAAAGAACATTTAGTGAGACCATAGCATTTTCCTCAGACCACAGGCTGTGCTTCTATTTGCAGGTTTTCCAGGCAGTGAAGGCCATGTTGGGACATGTGGAGCCTCTCTGGGCACCTCCTCCTGCGGCTGTATTTACCATGGGGTACGCATGTGCCTATGTGGCTCCCACAGACTACGGCAGCAGCCCCAAGCAACTGGTGCTATGGCATGGAGGCATCATGGGATAGGAGTGCAGACTACCTGCCTGTCCTTCCCGACAATACATCCGAGAACTTGGTGGAAAGATGAGCATGCAGGAGAGGCACAGTATGGGGACAAGTGGTCCCCATACTCTAAGCAGCAAGTTGTGTCCTGGTTTGGAGCAATTTCTCTATCTGTTCAAGTGTGCAAAGTGAATCATTATTGTGATAGCTCTTAGGGCTGGGTGGGGTCTGTGGCTCAGTGCTAGGCGAGAGACACAACTGTAGTCTGGATGCCTGAGAAGTGAGACAGAGGCCTTGGGACCCGCACTGACCTGGGCTGGCAGCAGAGTTGTCTTCTCCTTGGCCCATTGGTTGTGGTCTGTATACCTATACCAACCTAAGTGTGGCTTTTCAACCTAGTATAACCTTGAGGAACCATCTCCTCTGCCCTCTGCTCCCTCGGCTGAAATGCTGGAATAACAGCACACTCACTTTACATGTGCTGACAAAGTTTAAGTGGTAAGTCTATGCCAAGTCTCAGCATGAAACCTAGGGAGTTGATAGTGGGGAAGAAAGTTCCAGTTAAATTGAAATGGTGGGGTACAGGCAAGTATGAGAGACAGTGTGCAACAGACACACACCCTTCATCCCCCCCACACACACTCACACCTGTACCTTATCACATGCATATACCATCACTTGCACAGTATCTCATAAACATCACACACAGATTAACCAGACAAAGCTTTCATTAAGCAGGAGAGTTATCACTTACCTAACTAGTAAGTGGTTCCGCATGCAAAAGTGGGTTGTGGTGTGGATGGAGGGTTTAAGATGCCCTGTTGCTTCAGGACCTTTTTAAAACTGCAAGAGGAAATATAGGAAGCAGAGGTGTCCCAATGATAAACAACACCCGCCTGGCCTGGCCTGGCCTTTCCTGCCCGTGCGCTTCAAGCTGTAGGAACCCCTGTGTTCTGGCCCACCAGCCCCCCCTTGTGTTGCTATGGCAACATCGGGCATCCCCAGGCTGCTCCTTTCACC